CATTGCAAAAACAGGCCCTTTAATTGTAAACTTGTTGGGTTGTATCTCCACCTGCCTCTTTTTAACACCAAGAATAGTGTTGGTATGTAATAATTAATTTCACCTCAATGCCAGTCCTAGCAGCTAATTCACAAGTTTGCTTTTTATTTCACTCAAATTACTTCACAGAAAACAAACAACATACCTCCAGCTGTTTGCTGGCTTCTTCATTTCTCAGTATCAGGGATAACTTGGTACGAAGACTTCGAAAGTGCATATCGATCAGCATATTTGCCCGCTTTGTTGTTACGTCATTGATTGACTAAATTATTAATAGAGAAAACACAGTGCTTTACATACGAACTTTTGAAACACACCACTGCCAGTGATATGGTCAGACGTTTGTACTTACCAAAATAATAAGCTGGTGGTTTTCGGAATCGTATGTTACAGAAAAAGCTCCAACTGCCTTTTTGAAGTCCTTATGTGCAGATTCTTTGGCACACCTAGGAATAAAAATGCTACAAAGTTAATAAATGCTGCATTTATGGTTCACAGCCAAGATTAATTTCTTAACACAAAGAATCTAAATAAATATATCCAAGATCTCCCTTTTAATGCAGGTGTTATTCTGTTATCATTCATTTTACTAATTTTTCTTTCATTTGTTTTCACGAGTAGGATTAGAAATATTTCAGAAATTTTCTGTATGTATGTCTATGAAATGACAAACTAGTTAAGCAAAACTACATTAAAAAGCTATAATGATTACAATCAGCAAGTCCAAAATTTCAAACACACCATGAACCAGTATGATGTGTGACACCACTGTAACCACTGCAGCATTCCAAGGACCTTATGCTCACCACATGCTGTACTTTGCTTTTCCAGGCTTCTTCTGTCCACTTGCTACTTAGCGAACTTGCGTACCACAATATTAACTTCAGAAATTCTTAGTGTAATCTGAATTTATAGCTTATTACACCATGAGGCAATAACCTGTATCTCAAAAGCAGTAAGTGATCTGAAGCTAAAAAAGGGGAGTCAGTATCAATGTGAGTTTTAGAGCTGTATTTACATGAGAACATGTCTGTGCTCCAGGAGAAAACGAGCTGTTTCTATATCATGCTATGGCAGGTTTGATTATTGTACAACTATTCCCACAGCCATCACCAACATGCCTTATGCCCCGCAACATGAGGTAACATTTTCTTTTGTCATTAAATATCAACTTGCATAGATTGTCAGATACTCTATCAATGAAAGAGTGACCGCTTGAAAATTATCAATAAAGCTGACAAAGAATGCATTCAGATTAAGCTGTGCACATCACTGAACAGCTGTAAGAATAACAATCTTAATGTCTTACTGCAGACAAATCTTAAAAACTTGAAGAAAGTATCTCCTCCTCCAGGACTAAACTACATTTCAAAAATCATCTTTTCTATTTCTGAAGTATGAACATGTCCACATCTGTATTTCCTACATTCTTAACGTGAAAATTTTAAAATTTAATTTAGAGCAGTAAAAAGCACTTTTATTCCATCTTGTCTCAGGCTGAAGAAGCTACTCACATTTTGAAACAAGTTATAAAGAAACGCCTGTACTTACATTTGCCTTAAATCTTCTGGAACTGCCAGTTTGATTTTATGAAAAGTATCTTTTGTTGCGGGTTTATTGGGGTTCACAGATCTCAAACGCTCAATTGTGACAATTTCGTTGTATGTAGCATCACAGGCTGCGTATTCTATTACGTAGAACTGATATAAAAATAATAAAATCATCCAAGCCACACATTTTATGACAAGAGTGAGCATTACACTACTAAGTGAAAGGTACTTTTGTTAACCGTACAAGCCAAATTTGAACTTTTCAACCTGAAGTTAACGGTAATTGCCAACAGCTCTAATCAAGAAACTCTTTGAAAATGAAGAGGGACAAGTTAAATATACTGTGCACATCAATATAAAAAAACAACATAAGAAAAATAAAGTAAAAATAACTGGTTTGTGTATATATATATATGTATATATGCATATTCCTACCTCACCCTTTATCATTCTCACTTTAGCCAACCACCAACAGCAGGGTTCTTTTTCATTTGCCCTGGAATAAACCTAAACAAAATACATACATTACACACCTGTAGCATTCTCAGAAGACATCACGAAAGCTGACTAATATGGTTAGGAACAAAATATAGCAAAACAATATTGATACATAAAGTCTCTAATCTAAGCACCACGTATCAAATTTCTCTTGCAAATACAAGCAGGATATAAAATTACGTACGTAAGATTGTACGGATAAAGAATATTGTTCCAAGTCTACTGGCATTAGTTGCTTCAGTCTTGCATACAGTCAGAAGAGAGATAATTCAGCCTTTTACATCTGTTAATATTTAATCAACAACATTTCTAATTGTCTGTAGGTCTGATAAGGTCCTACCAGTGGGTGGTAGAGGACATATATCTACACCACTTTAGCACAAACATGATAACAGCCACGCCAAGGAAGTTTTGTCATCTTATCTTTCAAATCAAAACAAACTTAAAGAGCAGGCAAGTAAAATGTCAATCTTGGAAGTTCTTTTTTTAAAGTAAATTTTTCATAACCTTATAAAATAAGGAAGTTTTAGGAATGTGCTATGTTACAGCCAGTCTCTCTGTCTATATAGGTAAGTATTTACACATACAAATATTTTTACATTTTATGTACACACACATATAATGCAGATTCTCTCATTCGGCTTGAAGCTTTGGTAATATAGACGTTATTATCTTACAGCTGAAGAAGTACAGTCCAGCATTTATTTCTAGATTAATTCAGCTCTGATAAAGAACTTATATGCAATCAAAGAAACTGATTATGTTTGCAAATCAGAATGGAGGTTACCGTACACAGAATTCCGAAATAGCTGTATGGTTTACAACTGTCAAAATCTCTTTTCAACAACACGCTTGAAATTGTGTTTTATGGAGTACTTAGAATTAAAAAGGTGACAGCATATAACACGGAAGCAAACCTTCTACTGGCTTGGCTGACATTTTTCATCCCGAGTTCTCTCACTTCTCCAAGCAAATGCTGTTTGTGGAGCATACGTACCTCTACTTCATCGCTTTCATTTATATCTTTATTATAGCCCGCAGGAGGCGGAAACCTCACATCATGGAATGGTATTTGTCTCTCTGGTTGCCAGCTACAAATAAAAATACAGTAAATGGCCTAAACATTTTCACCTTCTTTGTAAACAGAAATCAGAAACATTTTCAAGTCATTAATTTTACATTTTAGAATTTTGTGCAGACAGGTATTAAAGGTAATGTGATCCGACGTATATAGAAGAAGAAGAAACACACCTAACTGACCATTAAGCACCTTAAACGTACCCCTGATCCCACCTGCACTGTTTTGAAATCTCCAGCAGCAGTTTTTACTCTATTTACAGCTACAGGTTTTAACTCCAACATTAGAAACGCAGGTTAAAAAACATTTCATTACATGTTTGGACACTTCCTTCAAAATAAGCCTTTTTTTTATGGTTCTACTATAGATTATGAAAACTTGCTCAGAATTCAGTCTGAATATAGTTTTAATTTTCAGTTTCTTTAACAGAGACTGGATAAATGAGCACGGAAAGAAGAGATTATTTTTAAAGAAACTAGAAAACAATTTCCAAAATACAACAGATGATGTCATAACAAAGATTCACAGGAAAAAGTATATAGCAGTATGTTATTTCTTTCCTGAAGGAAATGAAACCTGAACTAAATGGTGTAATGGAAGGTTAACTTTTTATACCCTTAAATAATGGGAAAGGAATATAATTTCATTTTTGGCTTAGAAACCTGCTATTTATCACTTATCTATAAAACGAATTTTGTAATAATGTAGTCTGCTAAATCTAAATTAAGACATTTACCTGAGAAAAAGGCTGTCATGGTACCACTGCTGTCTTATTCAAACATGGGTTGTCATGCAAATTCAGTAACAACATGCTTATCTTACCAACAAAACCCATGTTACTATAGTTTTGTACTTAAAAATATTTAAACAATTCAAAGCATTTATACAGAAATGTCACAACATCGTAAACATCAAACATAACTCTAAAATATTCTAGCAGCAAGTTTACAGTATCTAAAAGATGCTACTCTACATTTTTATTTAGGTTAATCAAATGCAAGGTTGATGCTTTGTATCATTTATAGATATAACATCAGCAATATACTTACTTGTTTTCAAATGCAACTGTTATAGAATCTTCATGCACATCCTTTACAAATGCCTGTGTAGAAAAAAAGGTATAATTATAGTCTGCTTACAGATATTTTAAAAAATAGCTTTAAACCCATACAATGCCTTCCTTTCACAGGTATTGATGGAAATCAAAATTTAAGTAGGCTTTCAAGTCAGCCTTTTTAGTTTTGCAATAGACTTACACGAAACGCACACTGAAAGTGGTAACAACATCCTTGGGTCCACGCCTGCCAGCACACTGACACACAGACAGAACGCCCAAAGCCCATTCCGTCCGCTTTTTAGAAGCGATGGGAAAGATTACTAAAAAACTACAAGATGTTTCTAAACAGTTTTACAAATAAAGTTTAAAATGTTTAATTTTATAATCACATTTTTTGTATTAATGTGTAGAAATTAGATGTGGAAATTAAACCACGTCAGTACTCCCTAAAAAAAATAAATAAATCCTGTGTCTCCTCTTTCACCTCAAGCAAGTTTGAACATTGCACTAGCAAAACTCATCCATAACCATTTCAGCACAATTTTCCCCTTATTTACTGCATCACACTTAACTTCCATAGTGCACAAACTTAAGATAAATGCCCTGCAGCCCTCCTTCAGTTTTCTTCTGGGGGATGGACAGCAGTCGTGCCAAGTATCCCACACAACCACAAAGCAGAGTATGGCACTGAGATTCAGCACCAAGAAGGCTTTTCTGCCTTATGCCACTCAACTGACTGACCTTTGATCAATCTGCAGCTTTAAGCACAAACATCCCCCCCACATCTACAGAACAGCAAGATCAATACTCAAAGAACTTTGGGATTCATGAATAAAAATGTTTTTCACAGCCTCAAATGATGGAGGTCATAGGACAACCAAGGATAAAAGGACTGGATTTTTTTGTTTCTTTCTTTTTAAAAATATTTGTATGACCTTCTGAAGCAGATAAACATTGATGAAGCGCTAAGTATTCCACTAATATTTGTCCATATATAGTATATCCTTGCAAGGTGTGTAGATAAAAGCCTATAAGCAAGACTGAGTATCAAAGTTTGTTCTACCAACGGAGATCCATCTTAGTAGATAGAAAAATTCTCACTAAATTGAAAATTAATTTAGCAGTAACTAACACTTCTGAAGAAGAATGAGTTAATGAACTGTGGAAAATTTTATTCTCTTCACGTTTCAAGTTCCCAAACCAAGAAAAGCTCTTATCTCTTACAAGAAGGTAAGAATTTCTTTCTCATATGGAATCTAAATGTTTTTTCAAAATTCTTTTGACAGTTTTTATTTCTGAAGTATTACAAAGTAGTCCCTGAGTTGCAGTAGTACCTCAGTATCAAAGAGCAGCAACACCTGATGACCAATACAGAGCTTCAAGAACTGGTTATATTAAAATTAAGCAGCACGTGTGCACAAGTGTCATTACTCAGAGACATTCAGTACGAGAAAGAAGTGCAAGGGCAGTTAATGCTCTGAAGATAACTACTGCCACCTCGAACAGAAGTCACAGCAACGCCGCAACGACCATAGCTTTACACCTTCCTTACCTCAATACTGCAAGAATAAGGCCACCAGAGTTTATTATTGCTAGCATCCAAAGGAGATTTAAGAGTCTTTAACAGTACTTACATAATTACATATCTCAAAATTCCAAGATGTTCCTTCCAAGAGGACTACAAGCATTGTTGATATTTTTTTAATGACATGATAGAAAACAGATTTAAGACCACATCTCAGGATCCTGTTGACAGTAGTACAGAAATGCTGTTTACATAAAGAGGCAACACAACTCCCAAGTTGATCATTATGGATACCGAGCATTTATCTAATATTTCATACTGATGTATCTTCTGTAAGAAAATTCCAGAAGTGGATATGCATTTGACAATTACTATGGTAGTCTTGACTCATTTCACAACATGACACACATCACGTTAAAAGGCTCCACCCACATTTCTTCCAATATTTTTCATGTGGTGCTCTGAAGTACCTATTCTTACAGATGTAGAAGAAATGGATGCCTTAAAAACCTGAAAAATACTGTTATCACTACCAAGTACCTTCATGTCACAAACTGGAAAAAGATAGGGCTTGGTATTATTAGTAACACTTGAGTATTCAAAAGAAGAGATTATTTTATGAGGCAAATCCAATAGAAATGACACCAAGAACACTTAACAGCCATGAAGAAAACAGGTGACAGTAACACAAGACAATGCCCTGAGAAAGAATTAGTTGATACTCAATTTTCTCATATTCATAAAACAGCAAAAAAAATCCTGCTACGAAAGATGCTTTCAGAGAAGTCATCCCCTTCATGGCGATGAAAACACCAAAAGATCCTCTAAATAGCAGTCTGTGAAAGTTACAGGAAAAAACAAAAAAAAAACCCACACAAGCCCCTCAGCAAAGAGCAAGACTACATCTCATATGCAGGTCTGATAGATATTAACACCCAAGTCATCTCAAGTAGAACCCTAGTGACTACAGCAATGTAAGTAACCAGTGGTAACAATGCTAAAATCTACCGTTAATAAGTAAACCAGGTGATGGCACAAATAAATCTAAGTTCATAGAATCACAGAATGGTTTGGGTTGGAAGGGACCTTAAAGATCATCCAGGTCCAACCCCACTGCCATGGGCAGGGACACCTTCCTCTACACCAGGTTGCTCGCAGCACCATCCAACCTGGCCTTGAACACTTCCAGGGACGGGGCATCCACACCTTCTCTGGGCAACCTGTGCCAGTGCCTAACCACCCTGACAGTAAAAAATTTCTTCCTTATGTCTAACCTAAATCTCCCCTCTTTCAGTTTAAAGCCATTGCCCATTGTCCTATCACTACATGCCCTTGTCCAAAGTCCCTCTCCAGCTTTCTTGTAGACCCTTTAGGTACTAGAAGGCTCCTAGAAGGTCTCCCTGGAGCCTTCTCTTCTCCAGGCTGAACAGCCCCACCTCTCTCAGCCTGTCTTCATAGAAGAGGTGTTCCAGCCCTCTGATCATCTTCGTGGTCCTCCTCTAGACCCTCTCCTACAGTTCCATGTCCTTATGCTGGGGGCCCCAATACCAACCCCTGAGGAGCACCACTTTTCACTCGTCTCCACTTGGACATCGAGCCATTGACCACAGCTCTTTGAGTGTGACAATCCAGCCAATTCCTTATCCACTGAGTGATTCATCCATCAAATTCATGTGTCTTCAATTTACAGAGTTTTATCAAGTTGAAGACTAGCCTAAGACCTTTAAACACCCTAGTACTTCTTCCCAGTAAGGGTAACAGAACACTAGAACAGGCTGCCCAGAGAGGTTGTGGAGTCTCCTTCTCTGGAGATGTTCAAAACCCACCTGGATGCGTTCTTGTGTGATTTGATCTAGGTGGTCCTGCTCTGGCAGGGGGGTTGGACTAGATGATCCTTTGAGGTTCCTTCCAATCCCTAACATTGTGATACTTATGTTATCTGGAAAAAGTAAAACTTGGGACACGTAGCTAGTTAACGAGTACTGAACTATGGGTAATTCTTGTCTTTGATTTACAACAGGTTCTAATTTAAAGACTGAAGATCTCATACAGGGGATGGAGGACCCTTGTCATCGCTACTGTGTCTGTCACCGTAAAAAAAAAAGCAATGAACTTCATTAGGTTGAAGATGATTCCAACAATGTGCAAAGGTTTTCAAGTCAATTATTTTAGGTTCTTACTGCCTTCCAGTTGCTACAAAAACTCTCCTTAAACAGCTCTTCAACATTACTTTGGTCACAATCCAGAAACCTGAAGGAATCTGAACCAGGAACATGAGGTAAGTGTTGACCATACACAGGTAGCATCAATACAGACACTGCTAGGGAAAACTATAAAACTGACATAATTTTTCTAGCTTATACCAAGTTCAGAAGGGTCAACCACAGAAACAGATGGAGTACCTGGTTTTCACTCCAGCCTGGCCAAAAAAGTTGATGCCATAACACTGTTGTTTGCCTCTTAATTTCCAGCCTTGCAAAACTACTAAAATTCATTGTAATGACTTTGTAATTAATTATAAAGTGAATGATGCCTTGCCAAATATCTAATTTCAAACATGCAATACATACAACACTTCTGCCTACTTCCATGTGAGATTTATGCTTAAAAACAATTAATCTGACAAAATGCATTAATAGCCTAAATATTTGGTTGTCTAATCTCGTCTACTCATAGAAAGGTGGTTCTCCTTGTTCTTAAGTTTCTTGTGCTAAAAATTAAATTAGACCTTTAACAACATAAGCCAAATTTACAGACATAGGACAAGTCAGCCCCAGATGTCAGTACTGACTTCACACAAAGTACTACGAAAAGTACAATGACCATTCATCAGTCTTTTTTGAAACAGAAGAGTATAAGCTGGACACAGAATTTCAAACATAAAGGTGCATATATGTGAGTTTGAAATGCACACCCAAGAAAGGACAGAACACTGGCTATGATGAATGTGAACACATGGATGAAAAGCATTAAAAACATAGTGAAACTAGACGGAAGTAAAATGAACAGGACAGTGAAAGACTACAGCAGCTGGGATATCACTAACGGCAGAGATGCCAAATAAGAGTATGCAAAAAGAAATGAGTCAGTGAAAAAGGTTTGCTTTTACTTCTGTGAACAGAAGCACATTTGACAATGGCTAAGGTTGATTCTTCTTCTTCTCTAATGTGGAAAAAAACAATCAAATCTATTAAGTTATCTACACCAACTTCGACTTTCAGTCACATAAACCATTAATGTTTCTCTCCATGCTTCAGCCATAATTAAGTAAAGTACTTTACAATCCAACATTGACATGTCATGGCATTTCTCAGACACATGAGCATTCACATTCTAAGAAGGGTTATATGCTGAAGATACGATTTAAATGTTACAAATTATTTGACGTAAAATAAGGATTATTGGAAACACCAGTACGTTTGCTAATTTGGCGCTACATGGACTGACAGACACTTCAGAGGAACCAACAAAGCTTCCAGCTGCCATGAATTTTTGTCACTTTTTTTAAAAAAGTCTGCTCACATCATCAGGTGTGAGCATTGTCGACCACTTTAATAAAGGAGGATAATTAACTGTAAGGAGTGAAAGTAGGGAGAACACGCTTTTTAAGATTAAAGAAACGTTGATACAAATGTGCACCTACTGTTTGCGTAACGGTTCTGTAACATGTCACACCTGTTGGAAGGAGAAAGCCAAAGGGAACCGACATGGCTAACCAAGTCTGAGAAAGGCAGGCCGCACAAAGAAACAAAACAGGGAAAGCAGAACGGTCACAGAAATGGCCGCCGAACGAGGGGAAAAGGGTACAGGCTGTCATCCTCAGAAGGACTGGGCAGACAGTCTTGGGAATGTACAACGAGACTGGAGATTGTTTGCTGAGGATGTGTGTGCTGAACGGTGAAAGAACAGAAAAAACTGATAAGGAACGCAAGAGTAGGCCAAAGGAACAGCTGTTAACAGCGAGACCTGAAGCAATAAAGAACTAAGACGAATGGTTTTCTCAATTGTAGCTTCAATGAAAAAATGTGAAGTATCTAGAAAACCAAGGAAACAATGGCACAGTGCTGAAACCACTGGGATAAAAAGTAGATGTTAAATAAGGTTATAGAGCAAGAAGTGGCAGAAAAATTGGTTATAGATAATATATAGTTTTCGAATAACATTTGCTGTTGACATCTATCTGCCTCATAAACAGGATGCCTTCCATCTTGAGCAGAGGATACAAGAGAGAATCACCCCCAAACTGGAAAAGAAAAATCAGTCCCACACTGGAAAGGTATGTCCCCTTTTAGAGGGAAATAATACCTAAAGTCAGCCTGGGAAAGATGAGACAAAGGACTGTCTATTAGCCCTCTGAGAATGAGGTAAGAACTTCAAAACCCAATTTACTACACTTCCACAAGAAAAGATGTGAGAAGATGTGCCCTAATAGCCTTTACCTTCAAGATTTAGCTATTTAGCTCTGAGCTGCAAACAGGCAGTTCCCTCTCCTTTGGATTCACAGTCCTGGTAGTTTGTTGGACCAACTGTCTTTACGTAAGGGAATCTAATCTCCTCTTTCCAAGGAATCTGGGCCCAGCAACATACCAAGTCATGACTAAGCATCTCTAGGTACTAGATTGTCAGTTATCCCTGAATCATGCTCACTGTTTGCACTTCACTTTCCATAGAATATTTATTTCATCTTAGCCAAGGAGACAAAAAAAACATGAAAGTATGAGGCATTCACCAAGCAATATTTTAATTCCATTCAGAAAGAATTAGTCTCTGCTACACAGATCACACCAACACAACCCAGTATTCTGCGAAACGTAGTGCATCTGACCAGTATGAAGTTTTAATTAAAATCTTCCAGTTGAGTATGAACGCATCCTCAAACCACCTCCTATGTTTTGTGTGGAACATGATCCCTCTAGATGTCTCTCAGAAGGCGTTCTGGATCACGTCCCACATACAAGCAGAGAAAAGACTGGTTTATTACGCTCAGTAGGACTTAGGTGACAATTAGGCACCAGTTTTGTACTGTTGAGATTGAGATGCTGCTGGGTACACTCAAAAATGAAACTAAGTGCTTAGAGACTTGACTTTATAAGGGCCTGAGAGAGCTACAAGGAGGACATGAAAATCTGAAGTCCCTTCATTACTCTAGCAGCCTCATATTCCTCCTTTCCATGTTTTAATATCAAGACAGAGATATATATTTTTCCAAAACATTTACATATTCTGATGAAGATCTTCAGAAAGATTCAAAGCCAAAGAAATTGCCACAAGTTACCAGTAAACCACAAAGTTAAATAAAAGAATTGTCCTGCTTTTGATTTGTTTGCAGTGTTACTGCTGTGAAACATTTCTCAGGAGGCTGCTTAAAGAAACTTTTTAAATGAAAAAAATAAAATCATTTTGCAATTAAATCCGCACTTGACATCATCACACA